GTCCTCTAGGGCCTCTTGTGCCCACCATCTATCCCCAATTATCGCGATCGTTTTTTCGCTGTTGTCTAATTTACCAAACTTGTCCATGTCACACCCTCTCTGTCTCATTTCCTCCTCGAGATCCTCTCTTTCCTTCCTGTACAACTCACACTCCCCAACTATGTGGGGTCTACTCTCCTCCGATTTGCCACATGGACATGTGTGTCTATCCTCCTCTTCCTCTCTCCTACGGCTGGTATACCTCTTCCTCCGTTCTGGCAAGTCCAGATCGCCTACTCGAAATTGCAATTTCAGCTTTTTCGCATAGTCCATGGGGCCGTCCAAGTACTTCTTCATCCCTATCCCTTCTTTCAACTTCCCGTATATCTCCAAGTGGTCTTCGCTTCGTACCTTCTTCCGAAGGGTTGCCTCCTCCCTACTTTCTAGCATCTCCTTGACTTTCGTCTTGAACCCCCCGAACCCTTCCGTGTCCAACGTCTCCTCCTCGTCTCCTATCTCCTTCCAAACCTTCTCTACCACCTTGTCCCATCTGATTCCCTTCTTCCCTGGAGTCGCTTTTCCCCAAGCTGCCTCGTCAACCATGGCTGGTAGTCTATCGTCCGACATTCTACTTACCTTGTACTGCCAATTCAACTTCTGCATGTCTCTCTTTGTTTTAAGAGAGTACATTCCCAATTCTGCTCTCAATACAGTGTTGCTCGTTGTACTTGAACATCCTAGTATTTTCTTGGCCGCTGCCATCTGCACCGTTTCCAGCTGCTTGACGGCCTTTTCGTTACCTTCCCATATCTCTCCTGCATACTCTAGCTTAGGTACAATCACCTTCAAGAGAATACACCTCTTAATCCTAGTGTCTAGGTGTGGGTCCGTAAGGATCTCGTCCATCTTGCCTACCTGAGCTTTACTCTTCCCAATCAACTTCGCTATGTGTGCGTCCCATGAGCACTCCTTCGAAATCTCTACTCCCAGGTACGTATACTTGTCTACTACCGGTAGTTCTTCCTCCCCCCATTTCCATTTGAATTCTACGGGATTTTTCTTATCTTCGTTACAGACCACTACTGCGCATTTTCCTACGTTCGCCGACAGTCTCCATTTTCGGGTGTATCCTACCGCCGCATCTATTTGTTCTTGCAACCCTTCTGGTGTTTCGGATACCCCCACGAAATCATCTGCAAACATCAGTCCGGACACACTCTTTCCCTCTACTTGGACTCCCTGTCTTACTGCTTCAACCGCCCTTATCAAATCGTTGATGTAAATCTTAAAAAGAGTGGGTGACATCGTACAGCCCTGTGCGACTCCTTGGAGTATATCCACGTACTTCGAAATTTCCCCATCCAACATCACCGCACTTCTTGTGCATTCTGTCATATTTTTCAACATCCTCCACATTTTCCCCCGGATGCCGATGTCCCACATCTTTTTCCACAATCCATTGCGCCATACGGTGTCGTAGGCTTTTTGTATATCGAGGAAGAAACAGTATGTCGTACGCCCGGCGTCTTTCCTACCTTGGATGATTTTACTCAACGTATATACATGGTCTACACAACTACGATCTGGTCTAAATCCAGCTTGTCCTTCGCTGATCTTTTGTTTCCCCTCCAACATGTCTCCCATTCTATTGTCTCTCATCTTGCCAAACAGTTTCCCCACTGTGCTCAACAGGGTTATCCCTCTATAATTCCCCGGGTCAGCTTTATCCCCCTTTTTGAACAGGTTCACGACTACTCCTTCTCTCCATCTCTTCGGCGCGTACTCGTGTTTCTATATCCAGTTGAATATCCGGACCAACATGTTAATCATCCCCTCCCCCCCCTGTTTCAAAAGCTCGTTCACAATTCCATCAGCCCCTGCCGCTTTTCTATTCTTGAGTTTCGCTACGCAGTCCTCTACCTCTTCTCGTGTGAACTCTCCCTGCAACCCGTCTACATCACTACGTTCCCTCTGAGATCTTTCAACGTTTTCCTCTGCCCACGAGTTGATTTCCTTCTCAAACTCCGAGTCGAAGTTGTCGTTGGTGGTGGGTGTCCCAAGTTTGCGGTAGTGCTCTACTAGTACTTCCCTCTTTCCTTTAGAACTGCTTACCATCTTACCCTCGGCAGATCTTAGGGGGGGGGGGGGGGGGGGGACACAACCCCCTTGAAAATTTGATCCCCCGAGCCCCATGGGTTCATCTGGGAGGGGGCCAAAAAAACTGACAAAAAAGAGATACGGAAGTGGTACCGTGTTGCCCGGCTTGGGGGGAAGAGACTGGGGAATTTTTAAAAAACGGGGGAATTCAACACACCCCGGGGGGAAACAAAAACCCCAAAACCTCCCACGGGGGGGGGGTTACTTTTTTTGGGGGGGGGGAAAAACCCTGGG